GAAAATATGACTAATTTACTACTGACTGTTCAGTGGAAATCAAAAAACAAGGGAAACCAAAATGTGTATGATGATAAAAGAAATAGTTCGGCAATAGGGCTACAGTTATTCAAATTAAGCATATAATATATCAATTTAAAGTCATGTCTATCTAGTTTCTAAATATGCAAACCTTTCATCAATTGGATTTTTATTGAGCAAATTATGGTCAATTTACTACTAACTGGTCAATGAAAGCCGAAATGTATGTGATGATGAAATGAATGATTCTGCAGTGGGGCTACAGTTATCCAAATTAAGCGTATAGTATATCATATTAAAGCATTGTCTGTTTAGTTTCTAAAGATTCAATCCTCCCATTAATTGGATTTTTATTAAGCAAGTTATAGTCAATTTAGTACTGATTGTTCAGTGGAAACCGAAATACGTGTGATGATACCCAAATTTAAGGGATTATCATATTTTGACTAATAATAAATATTTCAAATAACACCTATTAATTGGAAAACGGAATTAGCCAAAATTAATTTATTTAACATATATACTTGCACATCAGGAGGACATAAACAATTAATCATTCATATAACAAATTAAAATATATGAATGTTTTTACAGAAAACATATTCAACACAAATGAACTGTTTATACTAATATAGATATGATACATACTCACAGTTCAGCTGATAAAAGGATCATCCTCGATTTAATCATAGTAAAGTATATGAACATATCCTTGAAAACAAACATAACAAAATTTAATCGATCTTTATGTTAAGATTGTTAAGGAATAATTATTCATTCGTATAACAACTGTTACCTGAAAATGAAATCCACAAGAGTTAATTAATAAAATTGTTAAGGAATACACTTACCGTTTGGCAGGACTAACAAAATTAATCATTCAAATAGATTGACCGAACAAAAACAATCATTCAACCAAATAATAATCGTTAAAATAGTTATGAAACATACTTACAATTTCTTACTAAGATAGTTAGAAGATATGCTTACAGTTCAGAAGAACGAAAATAACAACTCATTTGACAATGTCAATCGGACATCCTTCATTTATTTCATGCCAATTCATGAATCTTTGACTTATAAACAACAACAACAAAAACATAAATAAATAAAAAATCATTGATTAACAAAATCATGAAGAATAAACGTATTATTGACACAAACTGACATGAACCATAAACAATTAACAAAAGACTAGACGTATTGTTGACGTCAATTAACATATTACAATAATACACAACTGAACATATACCCATTTTATAACCCCGTATTTAGACCTTTCGAATGCCAATACAATTAAATACGAATTGAATACTGTCGTAGGCAACCAAGATTAAAAACCTTCCTAACCTAACTACTGAACTGTAAATAGGGTAAGCAATGGTCGATCCCACAAAGAGTGTCTAGCTGAATTTTCGATGATGTGAATAAGGCTGAGGGGTTTTGAATAAAACAGAAAACAATCTTAGCCAAAAACAAAAACAAAGACAATTCAATTCGAAATCAATTAATATAACGAAACTTGGTATCCATCAACATCCACCATCGGAATCTTACAACTGATCATTGATGCAAAAGTAAATCAATTCTTACTTTGAATATTCACCGTTGGAACTATTTTCCTATCTCTCCTTAATTGTAATTAATTAGGAAACAAGCGATCTTAATTAATCTTACCATTAAACAACCCTAGACAAGCTCTATAGATTTAATCTATTGGCAGCTTTAAGAATTATAGAGATCGATGAAGCTAAACAATACAAACTCAAGCTGTTGTATTTAATTTATTCGAGTGTTCCTCTTAAGATTACTAATTCTTGACGCAGCAAATTAATAACCCTAATTGCTTCACAAGTTAGAGGGATCAAACAATTACGGATTTGATATCTAACTTAGCAATAGATTGTAACAAATAATAACCTAGTAGGCCTCCTAGAAATTAAATGAAACAATCATTAAAATAAGCATAGAAGAACATCCAATACTCAAAGCATAAAATTGAACACTAAAATAAAACGGATTAGATCTCACAGTTATTGATTCCGAGGCCTCCGTTTCCTTCGACAGAGTTATAAAAATTAGCCTCTCATGGCCATAAACAAAAACTCCAAAAAGAAAGAAAAAAATTCCAGAGAAGAGAAGAGAGAGGCGTGGTCCCCCTCAAAAACCCTAATCTGGTCCTCTTAACAAAAATCCAGTTCAAGTATTTGAATCCCACTCAATCTCCTAAAAAAAATATTCTAATATCCTAAAATAACATTAATCCTAATCTGACTCTAATTAATTGAAAATAAGATAAAGTCCTAAAATAAAATAGGAAAGTGGTGATTCAGAGCTGTAACTTGCGTGCCACATGTCTTCAAATCCTCCAATAATAAACTGCCCAATTGATTTGCATGACAAGACAGAATGCTCCAGGACATCGGCAGTGCAGGTGTGTCAAATTCAAGCCCGATTACAACCTTGATAAAGTGAGTATCACTCCAAACTCAAAACATGAAAGTTGTAGATCTATTTCTTATGGTTCCACAGCATTTCGAATCATCTCAATCGAAGCTCGGATGAGAGAGTTATGCCCAGATTACAAAGTAGTGTCGAAACTATCCAAATTAACTTAATTAGTTCCATTTTGAAATTAACGCCTTCATTTGCATCCTAAATCAAAATAGAATAATAATGAGTGCATTTAGGCAACAAATACGTATAAAAGACTAAACATTAAGGGGGGTAAATATGATATTTTGCATTCTCATCAAATACGAAGAAAGGTTTGCAATGTCAATACAATAGCCCTATATAATTATTAATAAACATGTATGTTTTTACTATCAATGCAATGCACCTATGTAATCCAATCTTTATATCTATTTATTTAGACTTTGGAATACCAATTTAGTAATTAATATTGTCTACATCATCACCAATAAAATTTAACCATATGACAATCACAAATCCAAGGTGTCATTATGGTTAGACTTTTAGAATGTCAATGCAATCCACCTATATAATTAATATTATTATTAATTATTAATACAATCAATACAATATACTTATATAATCCAATCTTTATATTTATTTATTTAGATTTTGCAATATCAATGCATTAATTAATATTGTCTCCATCATTACCAATAAAATTCAACCACATGACAATCACAAATCTAAGGTGTCATTATGGTTAGACTTTTAGAATGTTAATGCAAAGCACCTGTACTATTATTATTATTATTATTATTATTATTATTATTATTATTATTAATATATATTCTATTTTTTTAATTAATTAATAATTATAGATGGAGCAATAAATGTCAATTCAACATATCAAGATTGAGCAATTTGATTGGTTTGTCAATTCAATATGTCAAAATGAAGTAATTCTAGAGCTTCTAAAATGTGTCACGTGTCGATCAACCTATATGAGTATTCAGCTTTATATATATATAAGGATTTTTTTTCCCTTCTATATGGGTTAATTATTTATCTAAACAAACATTACATTTATAAATATCATGTTATTGGGTGTTTCTTTAGGTAAATAATTAACCCATATAGAAGGAAAAAAAATCCTTAAATAATTAATTCTACATAATGGTAAAACTTGGTTAATAATTAAAGATTAATTTGATAATATGACATAATTAAATGAGCACAAAATTGGAGCCTTTCAAAATACACTTCACTCAATAAGCTGGATATTTGCACTTTTTTATTGAACATCCACCAATCAAAATTTTCCAAGTGGGAAAAATTCACTTTTATCCTCAAACCTCAACCTGCCTAAAGGCATAGTCTGCCACGTGTCAGGCTCTTGTCAAACCTTAAATTTTAGCGCCCAAATCTAACAAAATATTGGTTTAGATCTTACTTCATTTTGTTCATCATCTTTCTTGCCCAATAAAGGAATCTAAAAGCATCTACAATTAAGTTTTAAAGGTAAATTTTATTTATTTGTAATTGTTACTATTGGTATTAGAATAAGTCACCCATTGGGGATGACCCTTAATATGGATAAGACGCGATGAAGCTTGGGGACAGTTGCTATCTCGAGTCGAGATCTACGAAATCATCCGATTGAGAAATGGGTCGACGTAAACCCATATGAATACCCTCCTCTTATAAACTAGTTTTAAGAGTGAATTCTATCCGTTCATGGTTATTACACTTTATTTTATTTTATTTCTCATTTTCTTTCTCTCTGCTATCTTATAGTGTAACATCTGAATAGATTTATTTCATTTTATGTTCAATGAATTGAATGCTGGTCTCTTGTGTTGGCCATTGACTTGAAACTATGTGGGGTTTTAAAGCTCATTATGAGTAAGACAACACTAAAATTGGTCCTTTTCAAAAGAATGGCTGATAATTTAGTCACAAATATGCTACATTACTAAAATATACACTGCATTTTCAATGGTTCTGAATTGCCCTTTTGCAAGCATAATCCCAGACTGTCATCCATTGGATTTGGAGATGCTAGATGCAGAATTTGAGAATAATACTCAAAAGAGTTTAGTCTCTAGTGAGCGAAACATGCCATATATTCTTTGTTGTTAGGCATGTCTTTTTGGGGCTCTAAATGGGCTGTAAATGAACGTGAAAGGAGAGAAGTTGACAAAAGAGAAACGTGAAAAAAGATAAAAGAAAAACTAATCATATTTCCAATACAGGATTGAAAACATGCCAAAAAATGTTATAGGCAACTGCTGTTAGCACTCTTTCAAATGATTTTAGAGAGAAACATGCAGTTCTTTATGCTTTTTTCCTTCTCAATGATGAAGAACAAACAATAAACATCCCACTAAAAATTCCCACTAAAGCAAGAAAATGGTAGTTTAATTCACAAGTTATCAGCAACTGGAAAGCTAAGTGTGGAGCCAGCTTTCATATTATGGAAGGTGCTTTTCTACTACCACTTTAATATGAAAATCTTAATCTGCAGAACACGGTCTTCTTAAGAAATACAAAAAAGGATCAGCAAGTAAAACTTCAATCATTCTTTTTATTATCAAATTCATAACATCAGGACTGAGATACAAAAAGTAGTAATAACAAGATATAGAATGTCAAATCTCATGCGAATGCCGCTTACATCTCTTAATGAGTTCAATAGATCTGAAAGGATTCTACATGAACTCTAACCGGGAAAGGTAGCATGAGAACAAGAAAAGAAAACTGATGAGCCGGGGCTTTTGGCCACTGCTAACCCATCTACTCAAAATTATGAAGTGAAAAAAAAAAAAAAAAACAGTCTAAAATTATTATCTATATCCCGACACAGGATGAAACTCGATGCTGTTGCCTCCCATAACTCACCATACCATGAAAGCTGAAACACAGTCCACAAACAGCACGACTAAACTGTGATCATCCACGGCCGCAAACAGGTTCACATACACAGCGTTTGATGACGATACAGAAACTTAACTCAGTGACAACTTCATCACTCATGGACATGAGAGCAGGGGAAAAAACAATTACTGCCCACTATGTCATGGGCATACCCATTACTAAGAGATCTTCATGGTAACTTGATCCAGGAGAGCTTTTGGAGGAATTGTTGAAACTTTTCTCTATTTCCTCCTCAGCAAAAATCTCCTCTGAACGGCAATCAAAACTGCAAAATGCTTTCTCGCCTCTGCAAGAAAACAAAGAAACAACTGCCTCAATGCTAACAGCACCATATAAACAGACACAATTGAAGAGAAAATGATGAAGCATTTGAGACAAACCTGTACATATAAATGTTTTCACCCTTTTCCAATTTTTTATTGCACGAGTAACAGAAGCTCAAAAACTCATCAGATGGATAAGGGGTTAAATCCTTCAGGTCCCTAGTGCCTTCGGGCAATTGAATCCGTTGCTCTTCCTTGTCAAAATTGGCCGACTCATGAGTTTGACATTCCACAACACAGTCACCAAAAATATGAATTGTTTTACGATTTGGACCATGAGATATTATACAAGTATAATCCTCAGAAAGCTCTAATTCCCGTGCAGAGAGAGAACCAACATATCCATTGCCAGAACCAATGGTTATCGGAAGAGAATTTGACTTAAGGCCTAAAGAAATATCCACTGGGGAACTTCTGTCAGTAACCAGCGGTGCACTCACTGTGGTAGTTTGATCTGTTGAATAAAATGCTTTGGAACTCATATTCGGGCTTTGATTTGAGCAGATTAGAGAAGAGGAAAGCTTTGTTGAATCCAACAAACAAGGCGCAGAGCTGTTTAATGATTCAGGCTCTAATGGGAATCCTCCATGCTCAAGAACACCATTTGAGCTACCCAAATGGACGTTGGGAGTTTTGGTTTGTGAAACCGGAGAAATCATGTAGTTTCTAGGCAAAGAACTGCATTTCATAAAAGGTTTAACTGAGTCATGGTAATGACTCGAGGAATTAGGATTGTTAGCCTTCACCTGTGGCCCAAAGACGATATTCTTCCTTGTTAATGACTCAAGAACTTCACCACTTGATTTGTTTTCCTCAGCAAGAGAATTTATGATACCAAGGCCTACCTTACTACAATCCCACTTCTTCTGATGGCCATTTTGGGATGTTGATCTTGGAGACTTAACACCAAATGGGTTGCTAAGGTTCGCAAAAACTCTGAAATCCAGAGGAGAGGTAGGGCTCCTAACAGAGTCCAAATCAGTTGGACCTTTCGAACTAAGTCCTACAAGGAACCCAGGAATACCAAAAATTGAACTACTTATTTGCCTTAGGCCAAAAGTGTCAGACTGAACATAAGACTCTGAAGCCGAATCAGCCATCACATTAACTACCATAAATAAACGTTTCCCGACATTATCAAAAGAACTGAACCCTCCTCAAAGAAAACCAGCAACTCCTTACTGCAATAACTTCCATAAAAACATTGTTAACTAATGAGAATAACTGTATTAATCCACAATCATAGGGCAACAATACTTGATCTGGCAGCCCAGATGACGAATTTCAATAGTGCAGAAAATGATATATCAGATTCAAAGAGAAAGAAATGTGTTCATAAAACCAATCATGAAACACCTTGGGAACGCTGGATCAACCATTCAGATTGAGTAACCATGGGGGATAACAATACCCAGAACCTTAAATGATAACACTAAAATCACAAGAAATTGATAAAATCAAAACTTTAAGCCATAAGCAGGCAACAATGAACTACAGTGAAGCAGATTAAAAACAGTGATAATCAATCCTTAGACCCTGATGAAAATTCTTTATCATACATTGAAAAATAAAAAGGAAATAGAACTTGTATGGATTGGAATAAATGATAACCATTAAATAGACCACTAATGTTAACAAATCAAAAAAATTCCCAAATAACCTCCAAAATACAATCTTGAACACAGAAAAATAAGGAATTTTTACAGAATCGGATTACATTAATTCCAAACAAAGAATCAACTTCAGCTTATGTCCAATTAACAAAACTAAGATCAGATGCATCATGCATAAAGAAAGGCATGCCCATTTGATCTCCAAGAGAAAAGAAAAAAAAAATCAGAACTTCAAAAGCAAGCACTAATGGAGATAAAAACAACAATCAAATGAGCAATAACCTGATAAAAAACTAGTTAAATTTTTCTTAAATGCATCAAATGAACCTCAAAAAACATCAATCAAACACTTGCTTAAATGGAGATAAAAACAACAATCAAATGAGCAATAACCTGATCAAAAACTAGTTAAATTTTCCTTAAATGCATCAAATGAAACTCAAAAAACATCAATCAAACACTTGCTTAAATCATCACAGAAAACACCAAATGAACCACTGTACAAGTCAACAAGCTGGAAAAAAACAATAAAAAACCCACCTGGTTTTCTTCTCTGAAAATTTCACAGAACAAAACCCAAATGCAGAACACAAAGATGAATATTGACAAAGCTAAAAAACTTGTCAAGCACAAGCCACAAAGCTTTCTAAATCATATTTTCTTTCTCTTTTGTTTTTCTTATTTCATTTTCAGTTTTTGCTTCACTTGCATGCATCAAAATCAGAGACACAGTGAAGCACTCAGCCTTCTGTTATACTCCTCTTTCTCTCTCTCTCTCTCTCTCTCTCTCTCTCTCATGATTAATAAAGAAAATACGTAGTCATATACGCTACCGTATAAAACTATGTATATTCCTCTTTATTTCTTTCTTAGAAAACAAAGCACAAATTCTTCCCTGTAAAACGCTCAGACCCAAAAAAAAAACAAAAATCAGTAATATTAATAATAAATTGATAAATTAAATTTCCTAAAATAAAAATAAAATTTTGTGTGGTTAAGTTGAGAGCATAGAACAAAATAAAATGGTGCTTTCATTATACACCTCAAATTTTCTTAGGTATGAAGAAAGTAGTTTTCAGGAGAAGTGGTTTTATTTATTTATATATTTATTTTAATTTTAGTTTTTTGAGGTGGTCAGCAGGCAGAGAGCACTAGAAGACAAAGGTGAGTGGTGGCGTCAAATGTAACTGACGTTTAACGGCTTCATTTCTAACGCCGATGTTTTTCTGTTGGGTTAACCGTTAAATGGCACTAACGGACACGGCTTTAAGGCCTTGTTTGGCTCGACCTAACACCTCCTTTTTCTTGTCCTTTTTTATATCTCATATCATTATATAATACAAACTAGAATTATTAATTAAACCATACCTTTCTTTTAATTCCTTCTATTTTAGAGTAACTCACCAAACCTTTCTTTTAATTAATGTTTTTCCCTTTATATCGATATTTTTGGCATTTGTCAAGCAATGCTATTAATTTTATATTTTTTCTAAAATAGAAAAAAATGACAATAATTATATTTTTGTCGATAAATGTAAATTGTCTTATTTTTCTATTTTCTTTTTAAATAATAATCTAAACGACAATATCCAGATAATATTCTAATGCTATTTTGACTATAATATTACTAAATTGATAATTTTTTTACTATTCACGATTTTTTTTAAATAAAACAAATGTCAATTCTGTTGACACTTTCTTCGAGTATAATAAATAAATTATTTAAGATTATAAAGTGGTCATTTTACTTTGATTGGTCTAAATTTTTTTATATTTTTCTTATATATAATTTTTGACATGAACACTAAATTATATTTAATAATTGCTTGACAAGAGACAATAATAATATATTAAAATAAAATCCTTGTTAATGTGTATTGGATTAGTTAATTTCAATGAAAATAAAATCATATACAACTCTACTCTTATCTATATATGTTTGTCTCTTTTAACATTGTTATGCCCTCTAAATTTTTTATAAACATAAAATGAATTTTAAAAAAAAAACTAAAATAAATTAATAAATTAATACAAATAATAATAATAACCAGACCTTGCCACGTCACTCAGTTACTCGCTGACACAGTCACATAACTCACAAGTGGAATTCAATTCAAAAAAGAAAAAGAAGAAAACTGTCGAGAAACGACGTCAGATTCCAAGTAAATCAGACTCCATGATTTCGTGGGACCCACATGAGGAGGACCCCACACTTGCTCTCTGAGAAATGATTCCTCACAGAGTCACAGTTTCCTTTTCATTTAAACAGTTTTTCTTTGTTTTGTCGTTTTCAGGTGAAAGCATTTGGTTTCGTTTTTACTTTTTTTTTTTTTTTGAATAAAAAATATATATATTTAAAATTCTGGAATAAAATAATGTACTCACACGTGTTGGGCTTCTGCCGTGCCATCCTCTGTGTTATATCCAACGGCGGGAAGAGGGAGATTCTCTGGAAATAGTCAGGTCATCTAACGGCGGAAACTTGGGGATGTGGACAGGGGGCCTTTTTGTGGGACCCACCACACGTGTCAGAGATGTGTGTCAGTGAAACAGAAGCGGTTTTGTTTGTTGGTGACGCATGAAGAGGAGTTTGTGTTTGTGCTCTGTTTTTGAGTTCAAGCTTTCTAGATTTTCTGTGGGCTGTTTTTTTTTTTTTTTTTTTTTTTCAAAAAACAATTTTAAATGATATTAAATTTATTTCATTTCATGCGATTCACATTTTTTTTAAATTATTTATTTATTTATTTTTTCCTATTTGGGATTAATCTTGATGAGTCGCACGTATCACTTGGAATATAGAAATTATTATAATAAACAGATAAATAAAAAAAGGTTGATTATACGGAAGCACTAAAAAATGTGTTTCTTTTAATTTTAAAAGAAATAAATTATTAATTGTAAAAGCTTACCTCGAAACAANTGCACGTATCACTTGGAATATAGAAATTATTATAATAAACAGATGAATAAATAAAGGTTGATTATACGGAAGCACTAAAAAATGTGTTTCTTTTAATTTTAAAAGAAATAAATTATTAATTGTAAAAGCTTACCTCGAAACAACTCTACAACATAAAGAACATAATGGCTTCTTTGGTAAATTATTTGAAAAATATTATTACGAATAAATTGATTTTAACTTTAGTTGGGTCGGATTAAACCAAATAATATAAGATTCTAGAATGTGTTTAGTATAATATCTGAAAATTATATTAAAGTTGTATAAAATGTTGAATAATTATTTGGTACATTTTTTAAAACATTTTTTAAAAATATTTAGATTATTTTTTAACCTTTTATATTTGTTAATTTAGCTAAACACCTCATCAATAAAAGTTTAAGAATTAACTAAAACACCATAGCCATCTAACAAAACAGCTAGTCGTCAGCCACTACCATTAAACGACAACCGACAATCGTCGGAATGGCGCACGAGCGGTGTTATAACTGTTTCCGGCCAAATCCACCGTGGATGTAGCCGTCGTCAACAACCAAATAGATCTGACCATTAACGGCTAGATCTAGCCAAAATGTAGTCGTCAACAGCCAAATCTAGCTGATTATGTGTTGTTTCAACCACAATGATGGTGTGGTTGCTGGCAGGCGATAGTGGTCTTGGGTGGATTAACTTTTATATTAAAATTAGTGAAATGTAATTGTTTTTAATTGAACAAAGTTAGAAAAATGTTTTGAATTGAATTGGATAGGGTAACCGAAAACAAGTCCCCTCTTTTCACTTTCAGACAAAAAAAAAAGTTATTTAATTTAGATTAATTTTCAAAATAATGATCCCAATAAGTAAACAAATACATATTCTGTTTTTTACTTTAAGATAACAGAAAAGTGATTCAAAATAGTTAAACAAACAAGAGCTAATACATTTTGAATGTTCCATTTATTCACTAACACTAATTACTAAGCAATATTTAAGGTGACTTAAATGGATTGATTTCGATAAAACAATAAAGGCAAAATATAGAATAGAGTTGTGAAATTTAGCGGGCTCGATTCTTTCATGAATCACGATTAATGCTTAGAAAAAAAAAAAATCATGTAATTATTTAATTTTATATAAATTGATGCGATAATTAATATAGATAAGATTTTATATTTAAAACTTTTTGTGTATTGGTATATCTTACTATATTTAAAAATATAAATTAATTCAAATAATTTTTTTTTAAGCGACTGAATTATCAATTATTTAATCCCTCGTAATTATTTTAGCGTGACTAAAATATTATCATCTAATAAATAAATATATATATATATTTTGAATTGTTAGATTGCAATAAGCCAATAACTTCAATTATTCACTTTTGATCCAAAGACAAGGCCCAAGGTCAGGCCCAAATGGTCCAATTCAGAGCCCATTAGAACCCAGTAATTCCTTACCCACATGGTACCCCTGGCGTACATTAGCAGCAACCACTTTTAGACCAAAATGTACTTTTACACGCGCTCAACAATCTAATAATTTTTCTATTTTATTCCACAATTGTTTCCATATTCTCACAAATTTTTGAGCTAGGGTTTTCTTTTTTCTTTTCCCCCTAAATTTTCAGAGAAACTTGAATTAGGGTTTGTATTGACGAAAAAGTTTCAAAATTTGAGCAAGTTTTGAGGTAAGAATTTGTGGGTTTTGTTTTTCTTTGAATTTAGAATCTGATTTTTAACTTGGGTGTTTTTCTTTTTAGGATATTGAGTTTATCGTTAATTTCTTAGTTTGTTTTAATGATTATTACTGTGGTTAGAATATGTGGAGAAAGGGGTTGAATCTTGAGGTCAAGGAAATTTTGCGTCCTAGATTCTTTTTTCTTGTTTATTTGATTATTGTAAACAAATGGAAATTATTTATATTCTAAATCAAAATCAATTAGGTTTTTCTTAACGCGAAGATTGATGGATTTTGTTGCTTTTGGTGTTTGATTATATTAAAAAGGAAAGTTTGGTGATCTGGAATGTATCTCATTAATAGAGGTTCATGGGTTTTTGTTGATTTTGGTGTTTATTTATTCTACCAATAATAGTGGTTATTAGTTATTGAAGTTAGAAATTAGAGTACTTTCGGTAGGAAGAATGTTGGGTATGATTTGATTCAATGTAAATGAAGATATTGGTGAATTGGAAATAGTGGTTATGTTTTGGATTTGTAATACCTTTTTGGGGTTTCATTTTTTTGCTTCGTGAAGTGTGTTTCAAAATAGGAAAGTGTTCTAGTTTCATACATTTTTCATTTTCTTTCTTTGGTTGAACCCAAGTTTTGCTTAAAATGGATGACACTGAGGATGATGCAAGGTATCCGCCAAACCCCTATGGTGCCAGTCAGCAGCAGGGTTATGGTTCATCACGTCGCCAAAAGCTCCCTGTTCGGGGTGTGCCGTATTCGGGGGAAGTTGACAATCAATATGTCGATGACGAGGATGAGGACGATGTGGATGATGAAGAAGATGAAATTGAATTAGGAGAGGAAGAAGGAAACAATAATCAAAACAATGGCATTGTTCAGTATGGGGGAAAAGACGTAGATGAATATGACAATGATGACGAGGACATTGATGATCATGAGAATGATGATGAGTATAATGCAGATGAAGATGGTGGTAAGCAAAAGCTTTTGACTTGGAAGCCAGATGATGTTGATGATTTAGAAAGGCACCCAAAAAAGAGAAAGTTGAAGAGTTTGGTTTCAAGTTATGAATTTGCTCCTCGAGTGCCAGCTCCTGTTGTGACTCCTTCTGTATCGAGGCCATCAACTGGAGGGCGGAATTCACTAACAGATTGGAATGAGCAGGAGACTTTTGTTTTATTGGATGCTTGGGGTGACCGGTTTCTGCAGCGTGGGAGGAAGAGTCTCCGATCTGAAGAATGGCAAGAAGTTGCAGATAAGGTATCAGAGGTGTCAAAGATTGAAAGGACAGACACTCAATGTAGGAATCGTTTGGATACGTTGAAGAAAAAATATAAGAAGGAGAAGCTTAGGATGACAGAGACAGGTGACACCAGTAGCAAATGGGTTTATTTCAAGAAAATGGATATGTTAATGTCTTCGCCTCAGCAGCAAGGTGGACTCTCTTGTGGGTTGGACTCAGGAGAGTATGTTTTTATGAACCCCAAGGTGTATTTGAACCGTGCTAATGGTTCGGATGAGATGAGAGATAGTCCTGTTAATTCAGAATCTACTAACGGCGAGGATGAGGATTCAGATGGACTTCCTCCCAAGAAAAGGAGAACTGGGAGGGAATCTAATGAGAGGTGTTCGTTTAGATTGCTTGCGGATTCTATTCATAAATTTAGTGATATATATGAGAAGATTGAGAATAGTAAGAGGCGACAAATGCTAGAACTAGAAAAGATGAGGATGGATTTCCATAGGGACTTGGAAATGCAGAAGAGGCAGATTATGGAGAGAGCACAAGCTGAGATTGCAAAAATACGGCGAGGTGTGGATGATGAAAATGATGTCTCTGCTGAGAATGCCAGTGGGTAATGCGTCTAGAACTGGTTACCTATCTGTAGTGCTAATTAATGCTAGCTGCTGTTGTAAAATGTTGGGGCCTTTTGCCCAGTTCTGCTTTAAATTGTGAGACAATAATAATGCTGGAATGTTGTATCAGATATACTTGAAGAAATATCATTGCTGTCATTGTTTCCTCTTTCACACGATGCTTCTAGTTGATATGTATCCATTGTTTTGCCATTAATCTATTTTCTTTTGTTTGTTGTAGCATGCAACGAAGCTGGAAATTATGAAGTTTCTATTAATGTCATCTCCTGCTGTTATTTTGAATGTTTCTTCAGTAAATAATCCCATAACTCCACTTTGTTTCTTTCCTCCAAATCTCAGTCTCACCTTCTGTTCTAATCAAGGATTTAAATATTCCATGATATCTGGTTCATAGGATGCTGCAAGAAGACAATTCTTTCTGTCAAGTTCACACCTAAAGACAAATAATTTCAGATTTTGTTTTTCCCTGTTTTCCTGAACTGAATGATAAATTTATTATTTTTGTCATGTAAATAGAAAAATCCATGAGGGGAAGAAAATCCTACAATAACCTGAACTCCCTGTCCATGACAAGTAGCTAAGAGTCAGATAGCTTTTGGATTATGTAGCTTTGGACCCATGTGATAGAACAGTAGTTGACATATAAGACAATACTATGTCGAAAATCTAATCTCACAATCTCAACATGGTAACTCGCATTGATCAATTTACAGTTGATCCCGTTCGCTCCAATTATAAGTGTCAGGTCAAGATTGTCCAAGAAAATTTGTAAGATTGGAAGTGAGCCAATCTTTATTGGGTAAGAAATGTTTAGAGATGTTGCGAATATCTCCCTGGTTTTTGCACCCGATATGCAGTTTAATTTTCAATTACAATTTAAACGACTAAAAATGGATTCAAGAGGTAAGCATGTGATAGAGAAACAAAACAAGATGCCCTTTTCAAGCTTGTATATATCAAATGATACGTTTCATTCCTCTGGTATAATCACGAAAATCATTACAGCTGTGGAATCAATGAAGCAGAAAAATATTTTTCGTTTAACTTTTCATACACACATTCCAATAAAGAAATGGTACCTGAGCATCTAAACATGCTTTTCTAATATCTCCAAGTAAAATCAGTGTTTTTTAGCATTCACTTAAATCAGTTTGCAAATTTACCAAACTCATCCCATGAGGCAATGAAGATGTTGAGGCCATAGAGCAATTCTTTCCGAAATCCGCAGAGAGCATTCTAGTGGAGTCTTCAGCAACTTCTTTGTGGAAAGGTCCTCCCTCTCCATTTAACAATAATTCTTCCAATTAAATACTTTAACATGTTATGTTAGCTTCCCCTCTAGGTTATGGTCACACGCGTTTGGTTCAGACATCAACCATTATCAATGGTCACACGCATTTGGCTCAGACATCAACCATTATCGAGCTTGATATCTGAGGATCTCCCAAGAATATCTGGAGTCAAATGAAGCAAAGACAGATGGCCCTGATTTTGGCAATTATGTATACACTCAGTTGCAGATAATTGTGTTACTATGTAAGACAACTTCTGACCAATATGCAAACATGGTTTTACTTGTTTCATGAAAATACTGTGTATGCGGCAATCACATGGAACAGAATGTTCAGACTGTATTTACACCATTTTCTTTCGCCTACGAGTTACATCAGAAGAATGCTTCTACCTGTATCAAATGAGTTCTAAACCGTACTCTGCCTATCTAGCATCCACAGTTCTTCCCAAGGGGACATTATCAAATCATTTTGATTTAAAAGCATTTCAAAGCTGCTTATGAACTTCTGGTTAATTCTAAGATCCAACTTCCACACTTCTGAAACTACTCCAGCAATCACAATCCCCTTCCCATCTCACCCAGATAACAGAAAGATTATGCATCCAGAATATTACCAGCCTAGCATGCTGCTGTAAGGGTCCATCCAAGACATTCATAAACCATAAAATTCCACTGTTTGTGGCAAATAGAATGACAAATACAGGATATATATTCCAACTCATTTAAGATCTTCATCAACCTTACCTACCGCCTCAAGTATTGATGAATAAGTGATTTGGTCATATTCAAAACCCTTTGCATTCATCTCTCTCATAAGCCTTGCAGCCTCCTCAAACATACCAGCTCGGCTAAGACAGCCAAGAATAGTATTGTAAGAAACTGCATCTGGCTTAATTTTAGAGTGCTGCATCTTTGCAAACATTTCCATAGCCCGCTTTGGACCACCTGTCCTAGCTAAGCCATTTAGAATTATATTATGTGAGTTTAAGTCTGGAAGGCAACCTTTTTCTTCCATGGTTCCAAGCAAGGAATAAGCTTCATCTATCATGCCAGCCCTTACCATTCCGGACATGAGTGCATTATAAGTATAAACATCTGGATTGCATCTAAGTTTCTTCATTTCATTAAAAAGATCTACGGCCTCACTAAGGCGGCCACATTTTCCAAAATGCTTGATCATGACAGCATATACCCTAGCACTTGAACGTCCACAGTTCTCCTTCAGTTCCTGAAATAACTCATTCGCAGCTTCATACCTTTTTGCCTTTCCAAGACTGTTGATCAGGCTGCAATAGGCAGCTGGACAAGGAGGAAACCCCTTTTCATCCATCTCTTCAAGGAGCATCAAAGCTTTCTCAACTCTGTTTGTTTTGCAAAAACCATCAATAAGAATTGAGTAAGTAAATGAGCTAGGAACAACACCCTTTGCCTTCATCTTCTCAAACCATGAAGAGGCCTCGGAAGCTGGAGCTTTAGATTCAAATAAAGCTTTAATTACAGTGTTATAAGTCACTACATTCGGCGTACACAACAAAGAATCCATTTCATTGAAGAGTTTAAGAGCATCATCCAAACGACCTGCTTTGCCCAAAATGTTAATCAAATTGTTTATGAGCACAACATCTGGCTTACAGCCTTCTTTCAGCATTTTCATGAAAGTACTATAGGCATCTTCGACTCTCCCAGCTCTACCAAGTCCCTTTATCCATTCTGTGTAAGTATAGACAGTAAGGCGGCAACCCTTCGCTTTCATCTCCTGGACTAGACTTAAAGCTTTCTCAACCTTACCCAACTTGAAATATATACCCAACAAGGTTGTATAAATCTTTGCAGTGGGCTGTAAGCCGATCTCCTTCATCTCATCAAACAACCTGATAGCAGAATCATCACGACCTAATTTCCCAAATGCCGATATAAGTGCACTGTATGTTACCGTGTCTGGAAAACAGTTCCCCTCATTGCACATCTCATTATAGAGCTCATGAATTTTCTCATGATGACCTTCCTGCATCAACATCAAGATCATAGAATTGTAAGTGCTCGCTGACGGTTTGCACTTGCGACCCTTGATCTGGTAAAAGATAGAGAGTGCCTTGTTCACCATCTTAGCCCTGCCCAAGATTCTCACAATTTCAGACAGCTCAGATGGACCAATGACACATGTACTCCTCACCATTTCTTGAACTGTCTTCCACATTTCCCCAAACATCCCAACTTCATCCAAACAATGGATTAAAGCCATGTAGGTGGTAGTGTCATGCTCAAAGTTTCTTCTCTTGCCCGCCCACTTGAAAAACTGAATTTTAACATTGATCTCAACATCTACATTAAGCACTTGCCGCACCAAACGATGATCTACTTTTAACTTAAGCACTTCTAAAGCTTTTTCAGCATCAGGACCCCACTTGAATATTTTCAAAATCCTAATGAACCTCTCATCCAATTTTCTAACCGAAGGATCCTTCCTCGAGAATTTCGGTTTCATAGGCAAGTTTTGCATTTCATTATCCGAACTAGGTAGCCGGAACATTTGCACTATTTCATTCTCTGCTTGAGCAACAAAAATGAAACCAATTTAAAAAAAAAAAAAACACAAAATTATATCTTTCCGGATTTTAAAGTACATGCCAATCAGATAAAAATGTAAATACTCAACTTCCATGAAGATAAAGCATTTCACAAAGTGTCACCACATTGCAAATTAACAGAAAACAATAGTAAACAAGCAGTTTTAATAAATACCAGTTGCAAAAATTTAAAACTAGAGTTTCTTTCGATTAATTATGTTGATGTTGAAGCATAGAACCATGAACAGTACCTGTTTGTTTAATTCTGTGAGCGAGATGAGACAAAGTTGATATTGACCTCTTAGAAGCAACTGATCCGACAAGTATCTTTGCCATTGTTAGCAACAAATTTCTCAATAAGATTAAAGTTGAGGTGGACAAAATGTAATCTTTTCACAAAAAATTGGCACTAAAACCAAGTGGAAACCATAGCGGAGAAGAGCGTGTTAAGAAATTAGAATCATTTTTCTCTCGCAAATTAAGAGAAAGGTTGAAGTGGGTCTGTTTGTGTGGGCCGAGCTTGGGCTTTTGTACTCAGCTCACATGGCTGTTGCTGTGCCCACCGGGTCGGATCCCCCCAAATGTTGCAGAGGGTAAATTAGGATTATCACTTGTCTATTATTACGCAGGCCCAAGGGAAAGGGCTGCAATGCTTTGTGAGACAGTTTATATGCTCGCATGTCTTCTTATTTTTCAAAAATTTTGAGTTCTGAAATTTGAAATCCAAGGGCTTAGCAAATGCAATATTCCCCTCAAATTAATATGTATTTATTAGTGATCTTTTACACTATTATTTTACTTTATTTTCTCATATGAATTCACTNCAGATTAACAGAAAACAATAGTAAACAAGCAGTTTTAATAAATACCAGTTGCAAAAATTTAAAACTAGAGTTTCTTTCGATTAATTATGTTGATGTTGAAGCATAGAACCATGAACAGTACCTGTTTGTTTAATTCTGTGAGCGAGATGAGACAAAGTTGATATTGACCTCTTAGAAGCAACTGATCCGACAAGTATCTTTGCCATTGTTAGCAACAAATTTCTCAATAAGATTAAAGTTGAGGTGGACAAAATGTAATCTTTTCACAAAAAATTGGCACTAAAACCAAGTGGAAACCATAGCGGAGAAGAGCGTGTTAAGAAATTAGAATCATTTTTCTCTCGCAAATTAAGAGAAAGGTTGAAGTGGGTCTGTTTGTGTGGGCCGAGCTTGGGCTTTTGTACTCGGCTCACATGGCTGTTGCTGTGCCCACCGGGTCGGATCCCCCCAAATGTTACAGAGGGTAAATTAGGATTATCACTTCTTTATTATTAGGCAGGGCCAAGGGAGAGGGCTTCAATGCTTTGTGAGACAGTTTATATGCTCGCATGTCTTCTTATTTTTCAAAAATTTTGAGTTCTGAAGTTTGAAATCCAAGGGCTTAGCAAATGCAATATTCCCCTCAAATTAATATGTATTTATTAGTGATCTTTCACACTATTATTTTACTTTATTTTCTCATATGAATTCACTTCCAACATATAAAGTCTGATAAATTGGGATACCCCTTCACCTATACTCTAATAGAACAAATATTAATATGGGCAATATTACACTTATAACTCAATTTTTTTCTCACAATTCCGACGTGAACCTCTCAATTGGTCAGCTTGTAGTGGATTCCGTTTGCCTAATTACAAGCTGACCAATTGCAAGTTATTACATTGGAATTGTGAGAGAAAGTTTATAAGACTAAGTTGTGAGCTAATCTTTATTGTATTAATATACATAATCCATTTCAAAATTTGATTATATAGGAGACTGAAAAGCACTATTTTAAAACTCAACCCAACCAAGCCAATTCGACTGGTCTGACTAGGACCTAGGACCTTCTTTGGGCAGGGTCACTCTGTCTACTATTTAAAACTCCAAATTCATGGAGAAGTAAACCTTAGAGAGGAGGGCGCAATCAACGAGCAAACAGCGGCAGGGCTGTTGGGGGTTTTGGAGAGTAAGTGTAATGAGTCGAAATGTGGCAACGGAGGTGATTTCTAGTGAGCGAAACGACTGGAAAAGGCAAAAGTCTCTCTGCCATAACAACAGGCTATTATTGATGATAAATGGGGCGAATAAGGGGTGAGATGAGTTTTAATCAAAAGGAGGGGAGTATTTTAGGGGGGATGGGGGTGATTGTTAACAACGAAAACATGCCTATTTGCCTTAGGTTGGTAGTCGCACACGATGGTTTTTATTTATTTATTTTTTTTTATGAAAAATGGTTCGATTTCGATCACATCTTACGTAGACTAGCTAAGAAATGACTCAAAGGATGAGTGAGACTTGCATTTGGAGTGTTTCTTTCACCAAGTGACCCCTGATTTGCATTTGACCAGATCACAAGGGTGTACTTGCTGGACTTCAAACCTAGAAAGACTAATGTGTAATTTCTCAAAGCTGTGTTTGTTAGATTTTAAACCTTTAGACATACTGATGTCACCAATCTGACCCGCCAGTCAGATCGATTCAACTGTTCGAACTAGGACTTGACCATTTTGTCAAGTTTCAACCGAGCTTGTTATTAAAATATTACTGGGAAGTAAACACATATGTATAGTAAAATATTATCAAAATAAAGTACAAAGAAGTTGGAATGTTTTATATGGCAAGAAAACTTTTTCTAAAAGACCTATATTCTTTAGCCATTTTCCAAGAAACCCATGTTCTTTAATTGATTTATTTTTTTCTTATATGGTAACAATATCAATATGGTCGGTTGTACAACCACAGGGATAAGTGATAACCATTTGAGTGAAATAATAAATTGTTATCACCACGTAAAATTGATGTCTCACTCTCACCTTCTCTAAACTAAACATCACCTCCTAAATTGTCCAAACACCCAAAGTTATCATCGTATCCACAGCAACAGAAAGTGATCCAAGTTATAGCCAATAGATCTCTTTTGTCATTTGCTACTTGAAAGATCAAAGGAAGCAATTTCTGAAACCAAAATAGAAACTTATAATTGACTAAATCCAGACATCAAATAATGCACAGAAGGCTGGTACAAGATCCTTAATAAGACAAAATACGAAAAACAGAAAAAAAATATAGTAGAACAATCTTTTTAAGAGCAAGTCTGTCTCGCCCAACAGAAGGAATGGGAGAGAGAAAACCTTAAAGAGGCAGTTTAAATTTTAATTCCTTCTCGTAAAAACCCTTCTAAAAAAAACCGGATTCTAAAGACCCACTCTTAACAACAATAAAATTTGGTAGACCACCTAACAGAATTAAGGCATTACAGATTGATTAAAAAAAAAAAAAAAGAAACTGCCACAAACATATCCCAGCCTCTTTCATTTCATCAGCCCACCGAAGAGCTTCTGTCTCAGGCTCATGGAAATAGACTCTTATACATAGGAACCAAGGTTTTGTCCTGCATAAATCATTAAAAGACAGCCCACTCCACTTAATTTATGCAGTACCTGAGGGATTTTCTGACTTGTCAGTCTCCATTGGTTCTCCAGAAGCTGGTGGTGCCTCACCTGTGGCGTTTTCTGCATTTTCATTTGGATGGGCATCACCATCATGTGGTTGGGATTCACCTCCCTGGGGAGGTGGGGTTGCCGGAGCCTCAGGAGTGGCGGGTTTGGCTGGCTTTGGTTTTGTCATTATCGGCCTGCAGAACCTGTTAGGAGAAAGTTCCACTTTTCAACCATCTTGAACAAGAACCAGCGCAAAAAAGATGTATTGCGTATTTGTTAAATGCAAGATAAGATTTGGGAAGCAAGTGGTACCTGTCAACCGCTTCAGTCTTCCTTCTCACATCAGCTAACAAGAGAACAGGAGCAGCATATTTGGGAAGCGAGTCCTGATGCTGCTTCTTCTCCCTCAACCAGGCCTCTGCTTCGACACACTCATTCAGTACCTAAAAATGTATCAAGTAAGAGAATATTAGACAATCACTAGAATCAGATAAAAATAACAATTAATTAAAGCACTCAAACAAGCCAGCACCTTCTGCTTTTCGGCCAAGTCAATGTGATCAAATTTGGGATCAGTAGACATAGCTGCCTCTCTGTAACTGTTGATACAGTAAGCAAATTGATCAATCACAGAACTCCTGTCTGTGAATTCCTTGTAACGCTCTTCAATGGGGTCACCTTGCTGTAGTTTAATAAAATAATCGAAGACGTTAACTTAGGAGCCACTTATTTTTGCAGAAATCAGAACAAGGAAGTATAACATTTATCACAATCACATATATCATTACCTTTTTCAGCTCCTCAAGCTTGGCAACATAAACACCTTTGGTTTCATCCTCACCATCTTCATACAACCAATCTTCTACTTCCTGAAGTCTGGTAGTGAACTGCTCCCTTTCAGAATCAGTGACAAATTCCTGGTATTTGTCGCAAAGCTGGAGAAACCAAAGGGATGTTAATTCATGAAAATAATAGGATTAAGGTGTGAATTTATAGGATGCTATGCAACAAAACAGCTGTTTACCTTATTCCTCATGTCATAGACATAAGCCTCAACAGCATTTTTCCTATCTTTAGTTTCTTCCATAACTCGGTCTTGCAAAGCCATTTCAAACTCCTTCTCCACAGCCCTTTGCACATCAGCTGGTACCATTCCACCATAAACCAATTCTGATACAGGGATGTTTGTTTTCTTCACCTTTTTCTTTGGAGCCTGAAACAGATAATCAAATTTATGCAAATACGCAAATGATAAGAACAGAGACCTCTATACCAGTAGAAATTCAAACACCCATTTGATGTCTTGTCGACACACTAGCAAGTTCCCCACCACATGCACACGCCACTTCATCTTTGTATTTTTATTTTTATTTTATTTTTTTGGGCGAAAGATGCACATGCAACTATAAATCATTACAGATTCAAGCATATGTGCTCATCTCACATAAATCTAATATCTATCTGCCAATTAAATACCATTTACACGATTAAAAAAAATGATCCACCACTACCAATAATATAAGCCCATATCCAGACATAAATTGCAGAAACCCAAATGTGCTACAATATTGATTACTATTATAATAGTACAAAAGATAACATAAGTAAAATGTGTTTCTATGAAAAAATCATGGGAAATATCCAAAAGAACTCTATAGTCATCCCACGCAATAAAGAACACTACCTTAGCATCAGTCTCCATTTCAGCAGTCTTTTCACCTGACTCAGGAATACCATTTTCAGACCCAGGGGCATCAGCACTAGCTTTAGCATCTTGCATGTTTGCATCAGTCTCATTGGAACTTGGGGGAGCACCATCAGCAGGAGCGTCATCAGTCTCCATCTTAGTAGCTTCCTTTTCTGGCTCTTTTGTGACTGGAACTTCTATTTCTTCCTCCTCCAAGAGCTAAAATAGACATGAACACAATTATACCTCGAGTGTAAAGAGAAGATCTACAACTTGCATTAAATGACAATGAAAAACTTACTGTTGCTGACTCAATTGATACAATTCCATGCAAATTCAAACGAACTTTCACTTTCACTTTGGCCCGTTCACTTTTAGTAGATTGGAAAGGACCAATCTGCAAACGGTTGAAATAACCATTGTGAGGAAGAAAATAAAAAAATCTTACAGTTAAACCAAATTTGGATCAATGTTAGCGATAAACTAGATGAGCAGATTACTAACCGTATAAGTACTGATCTTAGCAGGTGCTTGCAACTCGCTCACATCAGCATATTGAACATCTACAGTGAATGTACCTGCCCTGTAGAAAGTCAATGCCTTAACACTAGGTATTGGATTTCCCTTTGGGAAAACAATAGTGCTTTGCTGATTATCTGCTGCTTCATTTTGCGCTTCTGGAGCAGAGCCTTTCCATGACAATGCAATTGAAAATGGGAAGCTCTCATTTACCTTTAGAAACAACCACAAATGAAGAACCATTACTGATCATTTTTATGCATAATCTGATTAGATTGTAACATGAAACAGTATACCTACATAGTCACAATTAAAGCACAACATTGAGCAGAATTGCCTTGGCCAAAAGGAGAGTAAAAGGCCGCTCACCAGGAATAGAGAATTCAATGACACAAACTGCCTTTTACTCGTTCTAGTAAAAGGTTTTGTCATTGAATTTTCTATTCCTGACGAACAGCCTTTTACTCGATGATTAAACATTGAGTTACTATGACATAGTAGCACCAAGTGTACAGAAGGAGAAAATTAATATCATATGAACTGAAACACTCAACTTCAACCATCCAAGACCACAAAGACTGCTTCAGGAAAATAAACCAAGAAAAAAAGAAGAAGCATAAACCCAACATTTAAACTAATAACTGCCTTAAAACAACAGCCTATCCAGACCTCTCTTTGAAAAAAAAAAAAAAAAAGAAGATATTAAAAAGCCAGAAAAAATAATGGTACCTTTTCCAGACCTTGAATATCTCTCAATAAATATCATGAAAAAAAAAAGCACCACGATGCAAAATTAAGAAAAAAAATACAGCTTTAATCTTGACATCCAAGAGCTATAAACAATAGTAATAACCAAAATTCCACCTCTTAATGTCATTTAAAATCAAGATTCACAGTACCCCCAAAAAAAAAGAAAGAAAAAAGAAAAAAAGAAAAAAAAAAACACACATACACATGAAAATCCAGTCAGAAAAGGAAAGATTTTTACCTGAAACTCTCTCACTTTGAATGTAGGACTGAGGATTGCACATTCTAAAGCACAGCCCCTAGCAACACACTCACTTGCATTCATTGTACGCCTAGGCTCCTTCCCAAAGAATTCTGTTAAGATCTTCATTATGGAAGGAACACGAGAGCCTGAACCAACAACCTCAACCATGTGAATATTCTCGACTGAAAGCCCAGTTTCAGCCAGAGCTTTCTCCAAAGGCCTCTTCACACGTTCCAAAATTGGAGCACTAATTTGTTCGAATTCATCCCTCTTAATGAAACCCCTCACATCCTTCTCATCCATCAAGCATTCAATATTCAAAGGAGCCTCAGGATTGGCACTAAGAACTTTCTTCAATTTCTCACAGGCAGCCCTAAGACGAAGGCAGGCCCTGGCATTCTGGAAAACATCAATCTTGTATTCATCCTTGAACTTGGCTGCAAAATGCTGGAATAGAGCTTCATCAAAATCTCTACCACCTAAAGACCGATCAAATGAGTGACCCAATATCTTAAGTTGACCCTTCTTGAACCCGGCTATGCATACTTGGAAACTTGAATTCCCCACATCCACAAAGGCAACATTCAATTGGTCATTTTCCGGCAAATCAGTCTTATAAATACCATAAGCCAATGCTGTGGCTGTAGTTTCATGAATCAAGCGGAGAGGATGCAGGCCTGCAATTGTGGCTGCATCCAACACAGCTCTTCTTTGAAGGTCAGTGAAATAAACAGGAATTCCAATGCAACAGTCCACTACAGCTGCATTCAGATTCTTCTCAGCTATGCTTTTCAAATCTGAAAACATCATTCCCAGAACTTGGGTAGGAGTAAACGTCTTCATTTCACCCAAGTATCGTGCATGTATCAAAGGAAATCCATCAGGACCTTCAGTGATGGCAAATGGCAATGATTTCAGATCCTTTTGCAACTCAGGGTCAGAAAATTGTCGCCCTATTAAACGTTTAATCTGAGATATTGTATTTTTGGGGTTCATCATAGATGATGCGGCCCCTGCAGTCCCAATGAACCGCTGCTTGTCACCAAAGCATACGACAGCTGGTGTCTCACGCTTTGATTCATCATTAAGCACAACATCAATGCCCCTTTGCCTTGCAACAGCAACAATGCAGCTCTCATTGCCAAAATCAAAACCTACCACGCTCATCTTGTCCAAAAATTAACCGATTTTAATAAATTGGTCTGCTCCTAACAGAACAAACAACAACCTGAATTAGAAAAACAGCAGACTAAATAAACTTTAAAAAATGATATAATAAATTTAAATCAGAACAAAATAATAATAATTAAAAAAAAAAGAATATAACTAAGGCATGCTACAGTACTTCGTATTAATCGAAATGTTTAGTAACCCACAACATTGTTTTGATAGAGCACAGCCCTTGAAAGTATTATTATTAATCCAAACAGGCTGTGTATGACTAATAAATGTTACCATTTCTGAAACGCCTAGAATGTTCATACAATAAGAGATCGATAGGTTTTACTATCTTAACAAAATAATTAGCCCAGTACCATCAGTGGGCCAATATCATCTCGCCACAAATCAAACAATCATTCATTCATTTATAAATAAGTTTCGCAGTTGATTCACAATCAAACTCAATGCCCAAAAACAAATCAAATCACATGCAAAGCACCTCCCCTATAAACAAGTAATGTACATGAACTATACTCAGTCAGCCACAAAACAATCAAGCCTAAAACCCTAAATCACCTTTCCAACATAAACACAAAGCAAAAATTTCATCAGCAATGACATAAAACTAAATTTTCAGCAGCAATCACTTCGATTTCTCATGCACCGAAACAGCAAAATCAAATGACAACAACTAAATCTACAAATAACAAAGCAATAACAATATCTCAAAAACCCGCAACACAAGCTGAATCTAATATTGAACACAGAATCCACAACCGATGGAGAAAATCAGGACTTACAAGCTCGAATCTAGTGAGACAAAATTGTAGATCTACGAATTCTAGATATAAAAGGAACCGTAGAGTTAAAAGCAAGGACTCTCCGCTCAATAGGAAGCTAGGGTTTGCGATCGTACCTTTTAAAGAGAGAGGGAGGAAGAAGAAGAAACGTTTGATGTTGTTGTGAGTTCTGGAAATTTCTATATATATTTTGTGTTAAATGCGTTTACTGTTGCGAGAAAACAAAAACACAAAACGAAAAACCAAGAAGAGAGGTATGAGTGACGGGGTTTTATTAGGGGGGACACCAAGGGTTTCTGTGGAATTTTCAAATTTTATTTTTTTAATTTTGTTTTTAATTTTTTATTCTTTTTGTTTTAGAGATTTTTGAAGTTCTCTTTTTCGTTGGAGTCAGTTGGTCCTGGAGAAGTCTAGAGATATACTTGCCTCCTTCTAGAAAGATCTACAATTTGAGACGTGGGAAAGGGGTGGAGGAATCTAATTTTTGTTTCGTGGGCTAATGGGCTGAGGTGGGCTGGATCTTCCAGCCAGATACTTCAATTTCAATTTCAGTACAAAGAGTTTGAGTGGGTCAATTCTAGATTTTCTAGTCAAACATCATAAAGTGGAATTCAAAATAGTCCAAATAATGGCATCAATTACATTTTCATACCAGCCATTTTTTTTTTTAGGTAACTAGGGTGTCTGGTTGATAACCGGGGTGTTTGAATTAGTTTGCACGTATCTCAATTAATTTTTGAGATCCATTGAATACCTTACAAATGTAATGGACTAGATAAATCACAAACGTAATAGGTAGTTATCTTCTAGCCAGATACTTCAATTTCAATTTCAATACAAAGTGTTTGAGTGGGTCAATTCTAGATTTTCTAGTCAAACTTCATAAAGTGGAATTTTAAATAGTTCAAATAATGTCATCAATCACATTTCAACCATCTTTTTTTTTTTCTTTTTTTTAGGTAACTAAGGTGTCTGGTTAGTAATCGGGGTGTTCAGATTAGTTTGCACGCATCTCAATTAATTTTTGAGGTCTATTGAACACTCTATAAATATAATAAGTCAGGTAAGTCACGGATGTAATAGGTAACTATTTTGTGTAACTCGAACACAACCTCTAGATAACCCAATGTCTTCCCATCTAACCCATAAGCCAAATGGTTTACATACAAACCATCTTATCTATTTATTTTGACTATGGTTCAATTTAGTTAATTTTTGGAGTACTCATTCATACATTAAACATATGCCACACTAAAGATAAAATTTCAGTGATCTTAAGATTAATAATTATTTTTATTAAAAAGATTCTGACAAAATAAATAATTTTTTGGTTACAATAACATTATGTACCAAACATGATAATACTTATCTTTTTATTTTTATTTTTATTAAAGTTATTAGTTTATTTTATTATTTGATATTAGATAATAATTTAAAAAGCATTAAGGAGCTAACCTCGTTAATGTTTGATTTAATAACAAAAATCCTCTTAAGGTTTCTCAAAGAATTTTTTTTCTTTTTTACTGTTAATGTGCTGTTAAAACTTATTTATTGTAGATTAATGAATATTTATCAGATTATCCTTCTATCATTTATTTTAACATCTAAATCCAACGGTAGGACAATTTTTGTTATTTTAAATACTTTAGGGGGACTTATTATTCAATCAAACATCAGGGGGTGGAGAGGTCATTTTAAAAACAACAAAATAGCATTGTTGGAACGGTGCCGCTTTGCTCGTTTTGGCTAGTGGCGGGAAATCTAGGGTTTATAGCAGAATCCAAAAAAGTTTTCCGTCACTTTCCCGGAATCCAAACGGGGAAAGAACAATGCCTACTTATAAAATCAGAGGTATCGATGTGGATTTCCCGTTCGAGGCCTATGATTGCCAGCTCATCTACATGGACAAAGTCATACAGTCTCTACAAAACGTGAGTATCAGAAAAAGCTGCTTTCTCATTTCTGTCGTAAAAAGGTTCATTCTTTACCATTGCGATTTTGTGGTATCGAGTTATAAGAATAACACTTCGTTGTAGTACTATTGATGCATTGATGTTACAGGAAACAGCATCGTTTGCTTTAATTGTAAAAAGTTACATTGTTGTGGACTGTAGTTATTATGTGGTTGATTTGAATTGATATTTTTTTAATTATTTATAGTATTTAGTCTTTTTAGTTATTATAAATATTAAAACTGTTTTCTTTTTTGGGAACCTGCTATGTTATTGACGGATTAGAAGATTATGTTTTTGAGTGGTATTTTGTGATAGTGAGTAATAGTTTACATTGATTTTAGCACAAAGTGTAGTGTGCAGTTTGCTCTGCAACTCGTTAGTTTGATGATATTATGATATAAGTATGTGATTACGAAGTCCTTTTGTAAATTTTGATCCATTTTGGAGAAACTGACAAGTTTGTTAATAGGTGATTGTAAATTTGTGTTTTTGAGTTATATTATCAATTTTAAGAGTTAACATATTCAGTTTTTCTGATAATCAATTGTTTTAGTGGTATGCATATTTTTGTCTAACTGCCAGACATTGAATTGATTCTGGCTGTTGGAGTTTAGAATATGCAGTAATTTTATGGAGCTCTCAGACATGGGTAGTGATTTATTTGAACATTGGGAGATTTACGTATATCTACTGTATCATCAGATTATATTGCTATTTCTAGTAACAGTTGTAACACCTATCCCTGCATATGGCAGAAATGTAATGCACTTCTGGAGAGTCCTACTGGAACTGGGAAAACCTTGTGTCTTCTCTGTGCCACGTTGGCTTGGAGGAAGAGTTTGGGTGGTTTCAACACTTCTGGAATTCAAAAGGATGATCAGGTTGCTGGGAGCCAGTCAATTGAGGTTTTGTCACAATCTGCGGCTTCTAAGCTTCCTAAGATAGTTTATACCTCACGCACTCACAGCCAACTTCGGCAAGTGATTAAAGAGTTAAAAAGAACTACCTACAGGTCAGATCATACATTCCAAGTGCTTGCTTTTATAATTGCTGGCTTCAGCATTGAATAGACCTCCTAGATCCATGTTTACTTATTCATTTCTTGACTCTTATAGATGGTTACATCTATGACCTTAATTTAAGATATGTTAATTTGACATGCACTTGTCATGAAATCTTTCTTATATAAACCATAAGTTATGCTTTTCCAAAGTGAAACTTTGCTGTCTATTCAAGAGTATAAACAGAGAATCTTAAATTGCTACTAAGTTGGTTTTGCCATGTGGTTTTTTATTATCTTTCAATCTCAGAATTTTATTTGGATTCTACAGGCCCAAAATGGTCATATTAGGATCTCGAGAGCAATTTTGCATCCATGAGGAAGTCAGTTTGCTTCGTGGAAGTGCACAAAACAATGCCTGCAGATTCCTTTGCAAAAAGGGCTCAAAGCGTTGCTGCATTCATTATATTCGCACTGCCAGTAATTCTGAATTTATTTGTGCACTTGTTCAAGCATGCATCTCTCTCTATTTTTTTGTCTCTCTAACAGAAACTCACACGACAATTAGTGTGTGCATGACTTATTAATTTATTTATTTCTAAATATCGGAGTTTTCAGAATATTTTTTACGTGGTCCTAAATTTACAGATGTGAGTTATTTTGTCACCAGGAGTGACATAATCCGGTATAAGAAACTGATGACTGAAATTATATAAAATTAATGGAATTTTTTCAGTGCAGCGCTAATGCCATGATTTGCATTATTCTGGACCTTGTTATATATATTGTAATGTCCTTACTGAATTATTTTTATTTTCATATGCTGAAGAGTATTGATTATGTTATGACTAAAAATGTTTTAACTCCTGTTGCTAAGGCATTCGTAGCACTTTTAATATGTTCGATACCAAACAGAGAGGTTAATCTTCAAAGGAAATTCAAAAGAAATGTCTATTTATTTCACAATTTATTTCAGCAGATAGATGAAAACTGGGTTTTGGGATTTTTTTTTTTTTTTTATCCAAGTAAAATATCGTGGATATCCTTTTGATGATGGTGATATTGGCGTAATAAGATCTTATGAATGGTTAAGGAAACAAATTCATATTTGTAAATCAATAATTTTGTGGATCACTCATGCACTTAACTCAGTTTCTTTTTGTTTTAATTTTTGTAATTATTACAATCACTCTTGATGCCTGTATATTTCTATGCTTCTATTGTAGATTATTTGAAGAACAATCCTCATCTTGGAGATGAACCTATTGACATAGAGGATTTGGTCAATATTGGACGAAGATCTGGACCGTAGGTTCTGCTGGCTGTGTTATCTCTTCATTCTAACATATTTAGACAGTTTGCTTCTTAAAACACAGTTTCTTATATGAGAAACTGTTGTCACTGCTGGTGGCATGGACTGGTCTGCTTGCCATTTTGTTTGATACTTGTTTGTTGTAGGTGCCCATATTTTCTGTCAAGAGAGCTCCACAAGGTTGTTGATATCTTATTTGCTCCCTATAACTATCTTATTGATCCTGGGTATAGAAGAGGTCTTGGCCTGGACTGGGACAAAAGTATACTTATATTTGATGAAGCTCACAACCTGGTAAGGAGAAAAGACTAAGGGACTAAGTCTGTCTGTAAAACTATTGGAAGTATTGGTGTTGGTTTTGAATGTTCAATTGACTTTAAATTTCTGCTTATCCACTCTTGGAGTTAGCTGGATAAGAAGTATATGTTTCAACGTAAATGAAGCAGATTTAGTGACTTGTAATATAATTACACTTACAGCTATTCAGATGATAAGAATACAATGCAGGAAAGTTTATGTGCAGATGCAGCCTCCTTTGACTTGCATCCTGGGCTTCTTACAGCTTGCATCTCTGAAGCAAAGAATTGTATTGACCTTTCGACGAAGAGACAATGTTCAGATGACAAATCTTCGAAGCCAGAAGATTTTGCTGTTCTTAGAGGTATCTGTCATTGGTATCATGTAACTGTGTCAAATTGCAGCACAGTATCCGAATGCGTAAATATTTCTAATCTTGTAATGCTATTAGGATCTAAATTTCACTCTCAGTTGTGTTTAAGGATTATGTACATGCCCTTTTCTACCAACGTAATTTTTTTTTTTTTTTTTTTTAAACCTTGCAGTTTACCAATAGTTCATCTGACTGTTTTGTGCTGCCCTTTTGGTAGCAATAAAATAAATACTGTTACTTACCCAAAAAAAATTTAAAACTTACCCAAATATATATATATATATGTACTGTTTCTTATAAACAAAAAGAGAAGTAAAACAAAGACCAATTGAAACCCATTGTATATTCTTTGTCCTATAAACTCAGGTTATCATGCATTTAGAATTCTTTCTGCCATTTCTTCTAGCACTTTTATGCTCATCTTTGTTGTACTTCACATGGCCATATTTCTTAATGAGTTATGATATCTTTCAGCACTTCTTCTGAAGCTTGAGAAGCGAATTGCTGAAGTGCCCATTAATTCAAAGGAGTTGGGATTTACTAAGCCAGGGCCATACATCTATGAACTACTTGCTGATTTGAATATAACGAAAGAAACTGCCTCTAAGCTCATTGGTATAATTGAGGAAGCTGCTGAACTTCTAAGGGACGATAAGCTGCAGAAGGGTTTGGACACTGCCTGCAGGCTACAAAGCATTATTGACATCCTGAATATTATCTTTAGAGATAAAGGGACTGCTCATGCAGCATTCTATCGTGTAAGCTTTAAAGTCATGAATACTCATTGCATAGCCAAGTTTAGAAATTGTGGTTTTTTCCATGTATATATAAATTTCTATTGATGTCATGCTTTAATGAGTTATGTATCAGATTTTAAACTGTTATTTGTCATTTTAGGTTCATGTGCAGGAAGCTGACGCAAATGCTGCAGATGTTTTAAAAGGTAATTTACATACTTGTTTAAATTATTTTGATAATTGGGTACAGCATTTATATTTCTTGTGCTTCATACGCATTACATGTTCTCATTTCTCATAGTATCCCGGGTTCTGAATTTTCTTATTAATCTCTCTGATTAAGTTTGCAATATAAACATGTGAAATAAGCTTTCTTGCATGATTAACCTATAGTAAATAATAGTTTCATACCGGATCTTGCATATGATCATTTTCTTGAAGAATGATGGTGGTATAACTCATATAGTAAGAAGGTCTTCCTAGGTATCTTAATTTCAATGGTAACTTAATGAAGCAAGAAATTAATGCAATATGGCTGTTACTGTAGGTGGCAGAAGGGGGCTAGCAGCCTATCAGTGCTTAAGTTGGGTAATATGATATACATATTAAGGTAGTGGGTTGGGGATATGAATTGACATTGTTGTTTGAAAGTTCAACAAAGCTATATGATCATGTTTTCAGGATTATTAACATTCTAAAATTTATTTGTTAGAGTTGGGGTACAATTGGAAGTATTTTTTAGTTATATGATGTTAACATGCTCTGGTTTCCCAAAAAAAGGGACATGTTGCCAAAAAGAAGTATTGGAGAGGGGTGTTAAAAGCATTCTTCTGTATTCTACTTAAATTTAAGTGATGAGAATAGATAAAGAGATTAGAAAGTGAACAGGATATCAGAGATGGTGGTGCCAAAAGTCTTCTAGTTCTCTTAGAAATGACTTTTAGTTCCATAATTCAAAATTTTTGTTTCTTGGCAACCAAATGGAGTATAAAAAAACAATGAGACTGAATTTGGTCAGCAAAATGTTCCACTTCAAGTCATTGGCTGTATATTCCTATTGCTATTGATCTTTTCCAATTTTGTTTTAACAAATGCACAATGCATTACCCCTCTAAGATAACTGCATGACCTTTTTCTGAGTAATCTTATTGTTGAAGACATGCCATTCTGTATGGTGATAAGTGTATATCTCCATTATTGTGGTTGTGCAGGGAAGGCTTCCAGGACACTCAGCTGGTGGTGTTTTAATCCAGGAATCGCAATGCAAGAGTTCTCTATGATGGGTGTTGGCTCTATTATATTGACTTCTGGCACATTATCACCCATGGAATCATTTGCACAGGAATTGAAATTGTAAGTCGCTTCAATGCTGATTATATTATTACATTTGGTTATTTTATGACTTTGATAATTGCTAAATGGAGAAATTCTTTTGGCTATTTCAGGGATTTCCCTGTGCGATTGGAAAATCCTCATGTCATATCCTCAAATCAGATATGGGCTGGAGTTGTACCAACTGGTCCATCAAGTTACTCTTTAAATTCATCTTATCGGAATCGTGATTCTCTAGAATACAAGCAAGAGCTTGGAAATGCAATCGGTATGTAACATATACAAATTGCAATAGCCATATTGATGATCTGATGCTACTTTTGTTATTATTATGTCAATGATCTGGATGCCACTTGCTGATATGTGGAAAGGGGTGATAGGAACCTTTCATTCCAAACAGCTTTTGCTTTGTTACAACTCAATATTTGTTTTTGTTATGAATTTCAATCTTGGAAGTTATAGTCCTTAACGAATAGAGGGAACTGGTGGCCTCCTGTTACACTATACATGTGTTGGGAGAATTTCTTTTGCTTGCTTGATTGATACAAGAGAAAATGTGAGAATTTAAAGATAATACTGTAGTGGACGTGGACAAAACATGCAAAGAATTTGAATCAATTCTGGCTGTATTTTGATGTCTCTGGATATTAGGTATAGGAGAGCAGAATAGTTTTCTTATTAATGGTTATATTTCATTCATTATATCAAAAAGATGCAAGGACTTCCAATTATTAAAATATCTGATGCATTGCACCTAAATTTGGCTCTAAGTTTTACTCTTTGATAAACAAAGGTTTTAAAATTATTGTCCTCATTACTGTTGATTAATATATGCGTAATTGCCAAATTTCTTGAATATCTTCTTGCAGTCAATATTGCTCGCATTGTACCTGATGGATTGCTCATATTTTTTCCATCATACTATCTTTTAGACCAATGCATCGGGTGTTGGAAAAAGATGGTAAGGCACCAAACACAATTAAATGAAGAAGTGAGTTTTGTTATTTATTATCAGCTTCATTATCATTATTATTATTATTTTCTCTTTAAAATATGATTTGTCTCTAAGAACCTGTCTTACCCATGGAGGAAGCTAGTAACCAACCTCTATTCTGAAGTGTTGCATGTCCTGTTTTTCTTAAGGCATTATTGCCTTTGTTGTCTTAGATATAGACATTGTCGATATCTGGTTTCACACTTATCTAGCAATTTTCTAATATCACATATAAAGGTCTAAAGCTTTCATGGGCCTTTTTTTTTCCTGCTAATAACATCAGCCAATACTTCAAAGTCTCTGTCATTATTAATTCTCTTACTTCCTTGTCACGAAGCCCTGGCTAGCCCTTCCTCAACCTTTAGATTCAGGCACAAAACAAGTGGATTCATTTGTTTTTGTGTTCTTACAAATTATGTTTTGATTTTTGCAGAGTCATGGAAATTCAACATCAATATGGGAAAGAATCTGCAAATATAAGAAACCTGTTGTGGAACCCAGACAATCGGCACTGTTCCAAATGGCGATTGAGGTGCAAAAACAAAACACAAATTTAATCACCATTCTTCCATATTTAAATGTATATTTGACCTCAGGTAGTCTTGTCTGGTTTTCTTCTTTGCAGGACTATATGGCTAAGTTGAGGGACACCTCAACTTCTGGTGCAGTATTTTTTGCTGTTTGTCGTGGAAAGGTATCTTCACACAGACTTCTTAGCAACTCCTCTTTGTTGACATATTGCAGACATTTGTGTATTTTATGTGGTTGGGAAAAAGCAGAAGCTTTTTACTTTGAAACCATATATTCCTATGGAGGTCTTTGCAAGAGTCAAGATGATCTATTTTCAGAAAATGTAAAATGTCTTAGTTCCAACACATACAAACACCATGTGGATCTAAACACATGCCCAACCCCGTTTGTTTTATGCATCCCACATTAGTCATTATGATTGTGTCACCATATTTTTTAAAGAATATGTTATTGAGTAGATCCCTTTCTGAACGTATAAAGTGCTATTACTGCGATTAATTTATGAAACCCTTAGTTGTGTCTTGTTTGGTCTTATGCTTAAATGTGTGTTTCATTTTCAAATGGTCATAATAGTAGCAAGCAAATTGACATTGTGTGATTAATTAACCAGAGGAGTTCTGAGGGCTCAAATTAAGTTGCTGCATAAATGGGTGGAAAGCATATATCAAAATGATCTGTTGTAGGATCTTTCTTGAAATACTCTTTTTATTGCAAATTGTTCCATGCCCTCCTTGGTTTATGCTTCCTATCTTCTATATGTCAGGTGAGTGAAGGATTAGATTTTGCTGACTTTGCTGGAAGAGCTGTAGTCATCACGGGTATGCCTTTTGCTACACTGACTGATCCTAAGGTATGGTAATCTTCTAGCGCTTTTCTCTGATGAGATTTTGTTAGTCTTTGTATGCTCTAGTTTGCAAGATCTTTCAGTGGAATTCATTAAATTTACATAAAACATCATATTCTAAAATTTGTCTTGTTATCATGTTAATAGGAAATATGTTTGAATTTCTAGGTTGCTGGATCTCAGCTAATGGTTTCATAGATTGTCAATGATTAACATTCCATTAATTTTTATAACTCTTGGGAAGAGGTGCTTACAATTGTCTAGGTGAATTACCTGAAGCTATCATTGGGAAAGATCAAAAGAATTATTCATGCCCACACAGTAGATAGTAACTGGTTTATTTTGGTTCACTGAGCTGTTATACTTTTTATATTTACTCGACATAGGAGATATTTATTATTGGTTTGAATTATTCATGTAGGTTTTAATTGTTTTGACAACCTGCGAATTTTAATTTCTGTTGCAATTGAAGTTCAGACTTTATCTCCTTCTGTCCTGTTTTCTATTATGATGATGTGGGTTTTAAACATCCAAGTTTATCCCAAATTAATGGTTTTGATGTCTAAATGGAATATGATAGGAACCCACTCCCAAATTATTGTGGGCTTGGGCATAACTCCCCTTGGAAAATCGTCTTGCCAAGGGAGGGTTCCCAAGCCCTTATAAACCACATGCCCACCCCTTTTTCCTCTCAATGTGGGATCCCAACAGAATATCTTTGTCCTATTCATTATTTTAGCCTGGGAAATTTGTTCTGATTACTTTAATTAAAATTTGAATTGGGATAAGGAGTGGCTTCATGCTTACTTCTTTATTTGGATTGATTAGTTGGCTCCTATTTAGTTTAGAATTCTAGCAATGGGTTTTATGATTTTATCTTTGCCTTCTATTTTTAACCTTGTTATATGACAGGTTCGCCTGAAACGTGAGTTCTTGGATCTACAGGCACAATCACAGAGAGAAGGATATAAGGTGCTGCTAACCATGCATAATATTGAATATCTATTTCAACTTATAGACTCTTATTTCCCATATTAAAAAACTCCTGCTACTTTGATTAGGGGCTAAAGTTGCCGGTTCTGACTGGAGAAGATTGGTACAATCAACAAGCGTCACGGGCTGTAAATCAAGCCGTTGGACGTGTAATTCGTCATCGCCATGATTATGGAGCAATCATCTTTTGTGATGAAAGGTTCTTCTTTTCTTCTTGTCTAAGTAGACCAAATTGTATATACCTGTTGAAGTAAAGATCAATCAAATTGTAGCTTATATAAAATATCTTTTTTATGTTGTTCGCTCCAACATTTAGTTTCAAAATCTTGAATAAAGAATCCAAGTTTGATTCCAATCTTGATTAGTAAATTGCTCATGAACTAATTTTTCTGTGCAATTTTCAAGCTACTTTCATTATGTATGGGATAGTTTTCAGAATTAGTTATTAATCATAAGCACTATATTCTAAAATGATTTATTACAATCATTTTTTAATGTGAACACATGAAAGATGTTTAAGGATTTGTGAGATGTTTAAACCTTTAGATGGTTTGCTCTTTAAATATTAACATTTGTCTCTGGTGAATTGAATTGTTATCAGTGATTGCTGTTGGGCTTGAACAATGTGGGAACTCCAGTTGTCAAGAATTTTCCTGAAGATAACATATTTTTGCTTAAATTTTATTGTCCTCTTTTGATTTGAGTGTCATTCTTAATTCAACTCTCAGTTTAGAACCTTTGTCATGCATTTTAACTTCTGTGGCTCTTGTTTAATTTTTTGAGTTGCTAATAGGTTTGCACATTCAAATCGCCAATCCCAAATATCACTTTGGATACAGCCTCATATCAAGGTAATATTATGCAAGTTTCATAATAATCATTTCCCTATAAATGTAACATACTTAACACATTTCTAATTGCAGTGTTACTCCAAATATGGGGATATGGTTTATATGCTGACCCGGTTCTTCCGAGATGCAGTAATTTCTTGTCCAACAAACCACAAGTCAATAAAAATTGAAGATATGGGTAAAGTATCTTCATGTTATAATGTTACTTTTTGTTTCATGCTTTTTGTTATCCTGGTATATTTCCTTTTTTTTCCTTGGAGTTTGTGGGTGTAAGCCACTTTGACCAGAAATTCTTATACAGCAGTAATCCATGGAAAATGTTTATTAATATTTGAACTATGTATTGGTCATCTGGTATTCTTCAATGCTTATGACTGTGTGACTAACTTTAATTTTGCAAGAGCTAAAGTCTTGTAGAATTTTTTTATCTAAATGAGTTTAGGGTTGAATACCAGCCTTTTGGCGAAGTGGTTTAAAAAGAAATGACTTTCTCTGCAAAAATATAAGATAATCTTGCAGGCTTTGTGAATTAATCAATTCAATGTTATCTTCTTACTGTTACAAGTCTGCTGATTGAAACAGAAGCTCTTGGCTGAAGCTAGGAAATGTTCTTTGTATCATATGGACGCAGATGTCTCTAATCTACCAATCTGAACATCTAATTGTATCTATCCTTGGTCTACTATTTACATTTTTAAGCAATCAGTGTATGTCAAAGGTTTTTCCTCTGTATTTTAACTGTAACACCCACTCTTATGAGATCACATTTGCTTGTTATTGGAATGGAAAAGTGCGTAGGTCATCATTAAGCGTTCATTTATATTGGAAAAAGCTTCTATCTGGGTCTGGTAGGTGATATGTTATATGTGGTAATCTGATGATAGTTGTCATGTCTCAATTCGAAACTACATTTTGGGCCAAACCGACCATCTTTTTGTTTTCCATCGAAGATCTGCATGATTGGATGGATTTTCTGATATGTTCTTTGTAATAAAAGTCAACTGTTCAGAAGCTAATCAATGCCATTTTGCAGGAAATGAAAGAGAAAAAAAATCTGTGGAGCCCCTGGATAAATCCTACCCAGAAAAGGTTCTTACTTCTGTAAATTTTATTCTTTTATCAGTATGTGTTCATATTTTGAATTAGCTGTCTGTCTCACTGTTTTCTCTGTATGAGCTGTTATTCTTGGTGATATTTAATTGCAGAGTGCAGCTGTGGGTCAAGCTTGCATATCTCCTTCTGATGTCAAAAGAAGCAACAATTCAAGCCCCTTTGAAGTACTTCCTGCCAATCGCTTATCCCTCAGTCCTTACAAGGCAATTCAGGCTTTTAAATTGAAAGGTTCATGTGATCTAGTTCAGTATGAGAAAAAAATCTTACACTCTGGAAGGAAAATTACACAACTGCAAAATCGTGAAGTGATTGATTTATCTGGTAATTCTTTATTGGATACAAAACCAAGGAAAGAGGAAGCAATAGCACCTTGTTCGGCTAAGAAGCGTAAAGTACTAAATACTGAGCTTGATGCGTGTATTTCAAATGCCACTGAGATTGCATCTGGTGCTGAAAGTTCACAGTCAAGTTACCCTCTTTCTAGAACTTGTTTAGGGAAGCATGAAAAACCACAGATTTCTGATAGTAGAAGCAGGCAAAATGCTGAAGTTTCAGCCTTGCAATGTAAGGTTGATGCAACGCTCCGAAGGATAGATTCTGAGTTTCTTAGTCAAAAAAGTGAAGCTGTTCTATCTAGTGCTAGTGGTGATGAGGAAACAAAAGGATCAACATTTCTTATTCAGGTAAAGCATTTATTACTGTATGAACTACTCAGTTGCATGAACTATGTAGATGGACTGATAACAGGCTTTGTTACAGAAGTAGGATCTTTGAAAATCTAAACTCGATTCATTACAGGTTAAAGAAGAACTTAGTGCTACAGAATATAAAGAATTTGTTGGGTTTATGAAGGCACTGAAGTCTAAGGCAATGAAAATTGGTCACGTACTACAGTCAATTGCAAACTTATTCTCTGGGCCTGAGAGGCTTCCTCTTCTTAGAAGGTATTAAGTTCTTTCTAAATGTTAGATTAGACCGTGCTAACCTTAGCTGTAAAATTTTGACCAAGGCTTGATGTTTTTAGATACTGTGTTTGAATCCCCCCACCACCTTTTTTAATATATTGCTACCTTTTGATTATCTGGGATATTTTCATCTAGCATTATAATGCATCACAAGAATTAGTGTTACTAAAACTTGCTGCACCTGATGCAGCCTGAGAGCTCGTCTCTAATCATGTTGTGGCACAGCAATAACATGCTTGCAAGAGCAATTCTATTTTTACCTTTTTCACGCATATACCAGAATGATGATGCACTTCTTTGATATTATTAGAGTGGCATGTTATGCTTATGCTTATGCGTAAAGATGCAATGATATTGCAAATCTTTTAGGTTCTGCCAAACCTTAAACTAGGATTCAGTTTCAGTTAACAACTGCTTGTATTCTAGAATTGGTGTTTTTGGGCTTATCAGAATTTTAATTATGCACTATTCGCAGGAAGGAGATAAGTATGTTAAAGTTTTCAATTGAAACCTGGAGAGAAAGCATGTACTTCTAGATCAATTGAAAACTTTTATCATGTCTTCATGTATTTCCCTAATTTAGGTTCTATATTTTTCAACATTTTAGTGATCTGATTTTTAATTTATCTTATACAAGTGTCCTCATTCTCTTCTGTTGTCATTACTGACAGATTCAAAGATTATGTCCCTGCAAAGTACCATTCCATATACGAGCAGTACCTTCCGACAAATGGTTGAACTCTCCATTTGTAAAGTGAGCAACTCTATACTAGACCCGAAAGTGAAGGCATGCATATTCTTCAGCTTGATAACTTTGTTTTATAATTTAGCTTTCCAAGTCCAGAACTCTTTTCTTAATTACGTTATACAATTTGATTTTCAGGGATTTTGCGTTCTAATTGTTTTTCTGTGAATAGAGGCCACAACTCCTTACCTTGCCAGACTTAAACCAGATATAAGGTAATGGTATGTCTGGCTTTGCACGATCGCTTTTGTCCAAACTGTGAATCGCTCTCATCTCAGGGCAGGAGACCATGTTAATAAAGCAACATGGTTATAGATGTAAATGGAAGAAGATTAGATGTAAAGGTCCTCACTTACCAGCTTTTCTCTCCACCGCAATGAACCACAAGGCGGGGGCAGCCAAGTTATATGCTGCGTTTTGTCAATGTTACTGATCATTCACAAATGATTTTCCGGTAATTTCACTCACAGTTGTAGTTACAGTATTGGCATTTATTTATAAATCTGATCTAAGGTTCTTGTAATTGTTTCTGAGTGCCCCCATATTGTTGAAAAAGTATATAAATTATCCTGCAAACAAGATTTTGTAAGTACCAATTCTCTGTTTGAAGGGATCATAAAATAAAAGCAAAGTTTCTGAAATTGATGATCTATCGTGCCTGTTTAGATTACTAATTTTAAAAATGTTTCTGCGTACCTTGAGGTACACGTTGGTACCGGCTACCACTCCAGCTCCTCAAAATGATAAATAAAAATGTGTAAAGTATATCTTTGCACTTTCCCATTGGTACTTGATTTGATCAAATTAAACACAATTCTTAATTACATGTGGTAACGTGCTTTGTAATAAATGACTATAACTCCCTCTTCTCTTAACTTTGAGAAAGTTTTATGTGTATTTGCAATACAATCAGTCAATAACTATGTCAAAGTTGATGAAATCTATACGAGATACGTACAACTCTTAAATTGTAAATACCATGTTAACGCACGTGTCTTATACGTCTTACGATTGGAGGGTTGGATACTCGTATGTATGTATTCCCATGGTAGGGAAGATTTTTTTTCGTGCATTTAATACAAAGAGTAATACTATATCCACAACTTTTTTTCACAAATTTTCTCTCACAACCCTGACTTAATCAATCATAATTTATCAGATGAATCCAATTGCGAGTTGACCAATTGTTTGCGAGTTATCACATCGAAGAGAAAGTTTGTGAGAAGAGGTTGTGAGTGTAGTATTACTCAATTACAAAATAATCGGCCAATGAAAGTATGCCACATCTAACCAACCAAAGAGAGAATGTCCTATGAAAACACATATATATTTATAATCCTCAAGATTTTCATATTCACGGAATACAATAGCAATAATTGAATACCAAATTAAATTTATTCTAATCAAACTCCGGGAAACATGCAAGAGACAATACCAATACAAATGTGCTAAATCTCACCAAAACCCGCAACAAAACAAAGCTTAAATCATAAACAAAGTGGGTGATTAATTGTTTTTGAAAATCACTCACATTTATAATCCATAGTGGATTTTGCATGTGAGGGCTAAGTAGTAAGATGAATAAATCCAAAACCTTACACCCTCTCCACATTATTTAATCTAACCTATTGCCACAATCTTACGTTACATGCTCCATTTTCCTCTTCCTTTCTCTTGCAACTCGAAAATCATGTCGTGATCTCGCCGGAATCTTATTCGAATTCTGACGAAGAATGACGACCAAATCCACGAATGCCCTTATTATGAATTTGTGTGATTTATTCTCATTAAGCCTCAAGTAACAAAACAAAAGCTCCTCCAAGAAATCCCAATCAACCGTTGATTGATATTGTAGTCTCGCCTCCACCATTTCTTTCATGGAACGTCGAAAATCTCCGTATGGACTCGGAGAGTATCTCAAGACTGCGACGGAGTCACTAGGAAGCTTCACATATTTGGAATCAGTAGAAACAGTAGAGTCATCCTCATTTAGGGCAGTGGTTGAAGTTGAGGTTGAGGTTGAGGTTGAGGTTGAGATTGAAGTTGGGCCAGCCATATCCTCAGAGTTGGTGAAACTATTCCGAGCTTCTTCAATGAGCGAGCCTGAAAATCCCGGCTCCACGAAAAACCGGTGAGACCCCTGACGAATCCTTGGAGGTGAATCAAACAATGCCCCATTTGGAATTTTATCTCCATCACATTCTTCTTTCTTTTTCTTATCATCCTCGTCATTAAGATAAAGAGACTTAAAATTCTCATATAGAAAACGATCGATGTCGGAGAGCGTTGCAGCGCCAATATTATTATTATTGTTGTTGCTGCTGCTGCTTTTACCATTTTGGTCACGATCAACGGCAAATGATAAGGTTTTGGGGTGTTTGCAGCCTGAAAGGACAAAATTTTTCGAAGTTGAGAATGAACTAGAGTATCGTAATTGAATATTTGATGGGGATTTTTTTAACTTGGAGAGGCATTTTTTGAGAGATTTTTGAAGGTGCTTGGACATTATTGTTGGCTGTGGATTTCTGTAACTTTAACTGTGTTTGGGTTTGAGTTTGAGTTTGAAGGATGTGGTGTGGTTTATAAATGAGCAAGTAAAGGAAAGTAACATAATTATTTATTGTTTTTGGAAACGTATTTAGTGTATTAATTTAGTTGAGATTCTTAAAAAGAAAAAAGGATAGGGGGCATGAATTTTGTTGGAGATTTGGTAGCCTAGCCAGTAAGATTTGTTTTAAATTAATGCAAAATATTAATATATGGTTAAATAATAATAATAATAATAATATGAGATATTTCAGTTTCCTTTTATGCAATGTTTTTTATGGATTTGCTATCTATTCATTCATTAATTGTCAAAATTGAATGATATTACCATTTTTTTTTAATATTTTCCATCTCCTTTATCTTTAAATTAATTGTCGTTGGTAGTTACTAAAAGTAAGAACTTCTTGTGATGTATATTTGTCTCACGGTGCCAAAGAAGATGAAAAATTGAAAAAAAAAAAAAAAAATTAAAAATGAATGATATTACATGAAAAAAAAAATCAATTTAAAAGTGAATGATGTTATATTTCATATTGTTATGTAAAAATCGAAAAATAGAAAAAAATTTAATATTTAGCTTTACTCGGACTCGAAGTAGAGAACTTTAGTGAAATAGATTGACGCCATAACCCACTACACCACGAAACATTAATATTTGTTTAGATTGTAGATTTTCATTTTATCATATTTTAGAAAAAAGAGGTTTGAAATTAAAAGGGCATGATACACACTTGGCAAATTTTAATTAGAAGAGCATGACACACGCTTCACAAATATCAACTCAAAGAGCATTGATTTAATTAGAAGAGCATGACAGTTTCCGCCAGAATTACATATTATGATAAACAGTAATGATATCGACACCGAATTTGTGCATTAAAGTTTTTTATCAAATGATGCGGTATCCATTAAGATGTGGTCACATTAGATAGAAAATATTGATTCTATGAATGGACGGTCGTCCATCTTACATGGATGACTGTCTATACGTTATAGACGATCGTTCATCACAAATGGACGATCGTCCATGGCAATATCAATGGACTCCCGTCCATATAATATGGATGTATTTCTATTTATTATGGACAAACGTCCATATAAGATGGATGTTCGTCCAGAAAAGTTTAAAAACAAATAATGGACGGTCGTCCACACTCAAAATCTAGTTTAATAAAAAATTTTCTTTAAAATTTTCAATTAGAATGTTTAAAAATTTAGGCCTCTCAAAATAGGTTTTAAAAAACAAGTTTCATTTCTCTCTTGCTTTGCATTTTTTTTATAAATGAAAAAAAAAATTTTAGTTTTAAAAAAAAATTATTTGAGTATGGACGCCAATCCATCTCATTTGGATGTCCGTCCATTGTATATGGACGACCGTCCTCATTAGATGGACTGCCATCCATACTTTGTAATTAAAATCAAAGTTTTTTTTTTTTTTTTTTTCATCTAAAAATTTTGTGCTTTAAAAATGAATATTTCATCTAAAAATTTTGACGCTTATTTGTAGAAGCGTCTTATAAAATCTATAGGTTTTTATAAATGAAAAAGAAATTGTAAATTAAAAAAAAATATTATTTGAGATTTACTGGCGTCCATACTTTGTGCTTTAAAATTATATGGACGACCGTCCATAGTAAAGGGACTCCCGTCCATATATTATGGATGGGAATCCATTGATATTTTCTAGACTCTCATCCATTCGTAATGAACCGTCGTCCATAAGATATAGATGAGCGTCCACAATTGTTGGACGGCTGTTTATTCACTGAATATCTGTGTTGTGTCCTATATGGCACGTCCAAGTCAGATGCTACATAGATCGATGTAAAATTTCGGTACCAGCATTCGGTGTCCGTAACATTTTGGTATGACATGATAAAATGGGTAGTTGGTTGATCACAAAAATGTAAAAAGAGTTTTTGAGTGTTATATTACTAAAATAAAGTTTCATCAAATAATATGGAGATGTTTTTGATATTTTTAACACTTTAAATAAGCTTACAAACATAAAACAACATATTATTTAGTCATTTATCTTCATAAAATTGACTATGCAACCCACCCATGGGCAGGGTAGCCTAGCCGTAGCGGCCGAATCAAAGGGGATACAAATAGTTTCAACCAGACCTGACAAACGGATGAATTGGACTGTACGGGTCGGGTAACAACGGACACAGGTTAAACAGGTAAGAAAATACATCACTCGTACCGATCATGCGGGTCACCCGTTTCTTTTATTTTTAAAAATTTTTCCTAAACAGTTTCTTCTTTTTTTTATTTTTTTCTCCATTTATTTCTTTATCATTTGCCATCTCCACATTTTTCTCTTTCATTTTCGTCTTCTTCTCTCTCTCTAATTCTTCTTCGTCTTTTTCTCCCTCTCCACTTTTTCATATTTCTTCTTCTTCTCTCCGATTCTTCTTCATCTTTTTCTCTCTCCACTTTTCATATTTCTTCTTGTTCTTGTTCTTTTTCAGTTCGTCTTATTCTTCTCCCTCTCTCCAATTCTTCATCTTTTTCTCCCTCAATAGATCTATAATCTCCATTGTGGCACCGGTGAGGGTGAGCATGTGTTGGCGCCGTGGAAGGCTGCCGGCGAACGGCAATCACTTCACCGCTTGATCATGCCTTCTCTTGTTGATTTGTGGGTTTATTTTCTTGGTACGAATGTTGATTGGTCTTTTTTTGTTGGAAAATATTTGTAGTTTAAGAGAGGAGAATATGTGATATTTTTGATTTGTTGTTTGGGATTTAAAGCAATTGTTGATTTCTTCTTCTTCGGTCTTCACTTGGCCTTACTGATTTTTTTTTATTTTGTGCGGACACCCGTGGGGATTACCCGGCCCAGGCGGATCGGGTACGGATAATACTCTCACGGGTATTGACTCTTGAATACATTAACCCGTACCCATTAAAACTAACCGGATACCCACCTGCTTATTACCCCCTTTGCTAGGTCTAGTTTCAAACCACAATCCCAGGTTTAATTCTCCTGAGGGGCCGCGGCTGTGGATGAAAAAAGCACTGTCTATTAATTCAGCTTTATTGGAAATCACCGAAATGTATTTTTTTTGTTTTTTTTAATTATTGATTTTTTGCATGAAAATACTTTCGTAGATTGAAATTTATATTTGATTTGGTTGGGGTGCGCCAGGCCCTTGCAGTAGTGCAACGCATGGGCGACGCTTAAGGAACCCAGTAGCAAGCTACTGTAGTGGATCCTTCCCCTAAAAAAATAAATTTAATATCATGTGAGACGATGTCCCACGTATCAGTTATTAAACTGATAAGAACGGATACTACACTTGATCTTAGCCAAAAGGCCGAGAAAGGTATGCTTTGTTCGTTGGCTCAATTGTTATTTTATAGCTCTATTCTGCATTGTGTCTTCTGTTGCTTAATCAATGTGGGAGAAACCAGGCCAAACATTGGTGCCTTTATTTATGCCAATTCATACGTGATTTTTTTGATTTGTTTAGCAATAATATGAAAGCTCTTTTTCATTAATTAAATACTGAAGTACTAGTCGCTGATTTTCTGCTATCAGTAGACTGAATTATGACTATGTATGTTGATTTCTCTCACCATAACTGCTTCAAGGAATTTTTTTTAGGCAGCACTGCTTAACTGGACTTGAACTTGCTAACCAAACAAATTTCGGATTGCAAAAAGTACCCATCAAATGACATGATAAATATTGGCATGGTTAAAGCATTCAACAAATTATCCTTCAATAAATCTGAAACAGAACCAGTGTATGTTTGTCGTTCCCATGCCATCACCTCTAAAACCAAATCAAGGTTGTGTTACATGCACAGTCTTGCTGCACTTATAAATTAAGCAAGATTATATTTATATACAGCAATTTTCAGCACTCAAGAGAGAACAACCAAGATTGTATTATTATAAAGCAATTTTCACAAATAGATTTGATAGGGAGCTGCACTCAAGAGAGAACAACCCTCCAAAAATAGAGGTATGCCGTTTAGAATGGCGAGCACACGGTATTCTTTAGTAAAAGGCGAAAGAATAGTTCGCTTTGTGCTCACCACGCGGCTCCATGCTTGGAATGAGGAATTTACTGCATTTTATGTATCTACTTTATGGGTGAGGAAACTATCTTCTAGGCTATGTGGGATCAGAACCATGTCTACATTTATTGCTTCTCTCATAAGCTCATTAACCAATATATCTTTCCAAAGTATCATTGACTAACGACCATGCCAAGCAGCTCCCATAATCGATATCAGAAATCAGAACTCACTAACACAAAATGCACTTGTCGGGAGGATACAAAATAGAGTGAAAATTGCTATAAAATTGCTCTTGCTGAAGTGAAAAACAGAGTGAGAATGTTAGGAAAATGCTCTTGCAGGGAGGGTCATAAACAGAGGAGAATGTTATGAAGATGGTTCATTCAATTAAATCTATTGTTGGTTGTTTAATTACATCTTAAAATTCCCAATAATTCACTGGAGTCCAGACACATCTACCTCAAGAAAACTTATTACTTCGGCAATCAAGTGTATAAATTAGTAAAAGCATGGCCGAAAGTTGCTTGGAATGATCTGGTTTGGTTCCAAAATTCTATCCCTCCCCATGCTATGACCTACTGTTAAACTCAGAATTGAAGTAGAACTAGATTTGGAAGGGGTGTGCCAGGTCCTTGCTGTAGTGCAACGTGAGATATACAATAATTTTCTTCGGACTTAACGCGTGCGCCTTTCATCTTCAAGTATTTGTTTTCGGCTTTCAATCTACTTAATTGAGAGAACCCAAATCTCTCTAGATCTTCTTTGCTAACAATATAAAATGTGACAACATCCTACTTGAAAATTATGGTAAATCAAGATAAAAAGAAATTTCAACCAATGCCATGATCAGTTACTAAAGCATTCCAAGAAGTCAATCATGTCAAGAAATATAAGTTAGGAGAATAAAGCAGTTGAGATATACAAGTACAACCTGCACATAA